CAGAGTCACTTTCGAAAATGCACGCAAACAGATCAGAAAAGCGGTAACTGAGGTCTTCACCCCCGTCTTTGAAACATGCATTTAGGAGGTCATCCTGACCAGAAGCCCAGTGGTGTTCGAGAGGACATATGCAGTCATAAACCTCCGAGACATTTGGGGGCTGGAAGTTCATCCTCCAGGGCTGTACGTCAAATGCTGTCACCAGATGAGTGGCAGCTGGTTGCCTAGTTAGATTTTGTTCAAAGTATTCTGCCCACCGGTCGACGCTCTCTTTATTCAAGATGGCACATCCTCCTGATCCTTGATAGTTTCACTCACAGGATGTTTCCGAGGGCTTCTCACTCGCATCAACTGAAATAATTTCCGTGCATTGTCAGCTTTCTGAGTCTCTTACATTTTCTCCGCTTTCTGTGTCCACAAGGCTTCACGGTCGGTTTGCATGCTCACTTTCACTGGGCGTCTGATGATTCGTTGCACCAAGTTATGTTCGGGACCGAATGGGATGTTTTTCCGAGATTAAGTAGTGCCACTGTTCGGTCCACCATCCAGCGCTTGAGTGGACTTGGTAGCCCCTTGAATTCGGAATAGACTCTAGGAGACGAACCCGGTAAGTTCGTCTAACATCCGGATCCGCCATCTTTCAGTTACCAGCGATTTCTCCGCATCAGTTATTGATCCGCTCCATCCATAACTGATGGCAATGTGGTCGATCTGAGTTTGTGACCGGTATGCCGTTCGAGTACACCATCTGGCCAGACGACTTCGACTGTTTCGGAAGTTAGTACTGCCTAAGAACAGCCTGTAGTCAGCACACACCTGAATCAATCGTTCACCATTATCCGTACGGACCGAGTTCAGTCGATATTGACCACTTAATTGAGTCTCAGACATGCTAAGCCTGTCCACTTGTTCATTCAGATCTCCGGCAACCACGACGATATCTGGGCATTTAGCTCGCCACAACACGGAATTCAAGGAGTCGTAAAACCTCTCTTTGACGGCGTCGGAGCTACAGTCAGTTGAGTTGTAAGCGGACACGATAAACTGTCATCCATCAACTCCTCCCTTGTGAGATTCTTTCAGAGATGTTGCCAGACGAACCGCGCAGAGATGACTGTCAACGGGTATCTAGTCAAGCAAGAGTCCTTCTACCCAGTGACCAAGGACAACACCAACCCCTGTACATCCCACCGCATCAACCTCTGGATCGCCAGAGGTACGCAACTGGAAGCGAGTGGAGAGTGATGGGGCAGTTAGCTCATCCATTTTGCTTGCATCCTAAATTCTTGTTTTTGATACACATCACACGTCAATGCCAAGCGAGTCCAGTGTGAGAGTACGAACAGCTTGTTGTCCTGCTTGCTTCAGAGTGCGCACACCGAAGGCGGCTAGATAGACTGAGCATCGACGTGTGAGAATTGATTTCGAGAGAGTGTCGGCGCCGGGTGACGCGCAGATATTTGCAAAACTGATGCAGGACGAATGGACTCATCAGTTCCAAGTGCTGGGCCTACAAGGAGAGAGTTACTAATAGGGTGCGAAGAGGTGGAAGAGAAATTAGGGACGCGTCAGAGGAAGCATGTTTTCTCTTACCAACCCTGCTGTAGGCCGCGAGTAAGGCGACCCGGCTGATGGCACAACGCGACGGCCGATGTGGCGTGAGTTTACTTGTATATGTGCAATTTATTATTGCAGGAATACTGCCAAGGCATCCACACCTAGGCAAGACGGCCGATGTGGCGTGAGTTTATTTGTACACGTGCAATTTATTGTTGCAGGGATACTGCCAAGGCACCCACACCTGGGCAAGAGGACGATTAGGGTCCTCAACCAAAGCCTTTGGCTCAGAAGTCTGACCGCAAGGCACCGATGTTTGGCTGTTAATACAGAGATTTACCATTTCCACGGAACACGTTGCCACACATGTTCCAACCTAAGATCTGGTAGACTATATTCGTCAGAACTTTACCCATTGACCAACTTGGTATGACAGACAATGCGAGTATCGCGCGGACGCTCCTCAGTACAGCCCAATGGGTCGCCGAGGTACACAAACCGTCACACCACAGTAAGGTCTAGTCTCTTCATGACGGAACTGGGGATAAGACTGCTTAAGCTGAGACATTTGGCACCTATCTTCCTCCGAATACATCCTCTGGTTTGCTTTTTAACGTCCAGGATTGCATTCGGAACACTTTTGGCCAGCCGCATTTCACTGCATGGATGTGGATACGAGGCTTATAAATGGTGCTTTGTTGAAATGGTATAAATATGGCTATTAGTTTTGGCTCCGTAGGAGAAATAGTTGGTATGACCCAGGAAACTGAAGGGGTTAATTTCTCAACAAGATGAGCGTAGTCACACGACGAACAGTCGAAAGAAACCACTACAGGCAGTGTGGAGAATATGAAGCAGAGGTGCACAAAATAAATTCCACGGATTTACATATTTTGATCGAGAGACTAAGGAGACTAAGGGAGATCAGGCGAAGACCTCCAGATTTCGATTACCACAGTCTCCGAAACATTGCCCGGATGTGGTGCGAGCATCAAATCGTCTAAGGTGGAAAAAGTTAACTTTACAGGACGGAAGAGCTAGTCACACTCCATAGCTCGTGCTGGTTGCGACAAACACCTCGCACAATTCTTCATGACCAATCTTGTGCTGGACTGAACGGGATACAAGTGGTCAACTTGTGATTTGGCAAAGAAATATGAAAGCTCTAACCAGTAAATGAAATCACGTCGACGACTGCCATCCTGTCGGAGGGGACACTAGTGACGGTTACGGACCCGGCCTAATCTCAAGGACAGTGGAGTCCACGCACTTAAACTGCCGTTTCATTGTATGACTGAGTGAAATTAAACTAAAATCAACTCCTAATGGCATTGTTTCGAATGCGTGATCATTCCTCAAACCTTACAGTAAACAGAACTGCAGCAGACTGAACCAACGCCTTGATATACGGTTTATTGCTGACGAACTGAACTAGAGGAAGTTAAAGATACTGAGCAAAAGTTAACACAGAGCTATTCGGCTTGCAGCCTCAAAAGCGAATAGAAATCTCACTAAGCAAACATTTGGTTGCAATGAAATCGACGCTCAATGTGAACACGAATCGGTCTCGTCTAAACTAGTCATTGAATGATTTCATAAACTATTAGGGGGCCGGGTTGCTTGAGAATGCACCGACCCAGAGCGAAAACAACCGTATTTAACTGTTTTTCAAAGGGACACCAAACAGGTGACTCTTGCTGGCGGTTTCTCCATGAAAGCCTATCGATTTCGTTGGGAAAATACAAGGCCATGTCATACTATACCATCCAAATGCAATCAATAGGTACAATGACGATCTCAATCACGGGCTTCAGTAAGTCACTTTTCGAAGACAACCGAAGCCTCCTGCGTGAACGGGAATTAATTTTCATACCTAGTTGGTTAGAGATCACGGGGTTTTTGTGATTCAAGTAGATTTATGAAAATAGCCAGTCTGCGTCGCATGAGTACCGTGAAATAGGGTGATTGAACCCAGACAAAAGTGTTCCATATTTCGCGCCTTCTGCGGAAAGTGGACATCGTTTCAGGATTCTTCGGTTCTTGGGCTGCAAATATTGTTACAATTTACATCACAAACAACAGTTCCAAGGAAGAAAGAGTGGGGAAGCGCATCGATTGACAGTAAGTCCTGGGTGTCACTGTCTACTCTACACGTCTTAAAACCGGATTCTGGCCGACTACACACCTGTTTCCAGAAAATCAAGGGGAGGAAAAGGGTGCGACAGAGGACTTGTCAGTCACTCATGAATGGAATAAACGGAAGAGGTTTAGTAGGAAGACTGAACTATTCCCCATGGGCGCGAATGTCAGGTGAAAAGACAACCATAATCTTGAAGAGAGTGGACTTGAGTCGCGGACGTTGGACAGTCGGTAGCAGCGGCCCTTTGTCGTTGTTGATCGTCAAGGGCATTCAAAGGTTGAGAAGATTAAATGGGAGACCAATCTGAAAGTAACACCATCCGCCTGAGAATGTGGCGAATGAACCACCTGCCGCGGCTGACCTAACTGAGGCGGACCGAACATCGATGGCACACGCGAATTTTTGAAGGGTGAGGTGTACGATGCTGAATCATTCGAGTACTACCTGGCCGAGTGCTTTAAAGCACAGTCTCTGCATCTGGTAGAGGGTTGATCTGGGAATTTTCGAACCGTCTCGGAATGTTTGTTCATTACAGTCTAGCATTCCCCCAATATCCAGGAAAGTTCAGGAGAACGCCCGATGTTGACTTTTCGAGAACTCTGCGCAAGTGACGTTTCTCCTTTCGTGTCTGATAGTGTAACTGCTTCGTGTCGACCAATAAACAACCCCACGTTTCTCCTTTCTTTCGTTGGTATAAATTATATATGGAATATGATCATCATGTGCATTTTATTCACCGCACTATCATCGTCACTTTTTCTAACACCAAAGACCCACAGAACACACCAAGACCTCTACGTATTCGTTCTGTGGAGGCATCCGCAATCGTCCCAACGACAGGGAGGAATCGACTTATCTAATCCGTAGAATCGAAAATAAAACAAGCGAGTTTCGTTCCCATTTCATGAGAAAAAAGGAGACGAATGACGACTTACCTCCGCACAACTAATCAGAGCCAAAAAAAGAATTAACACATCCAGTATAGGAGGATGTGAATCGGCCAATGTTGAACAGTGTGGTATTCGAATTGACTTGCCGGGGCGATTAGATGTGTAGCCAACACTGGTACGATACTAACGGATGGTCAAATATCTACATCCGAAATACATTGCTCAGTAGGATTTTTAGTGAGAACTTGCCAGAACACAGATCACAAGATTTATCGTCCCAAGGCACACTTCCTAACAGCCATCGTATGCTGGTATTGGGGTATTTGGTTCACGTTTCGGGTGGGGGTGTTACTTACAGTGGAGTAGAACAAGTACCCCCACTTCGCAATAACAAGCCCAAAAGCTTGGTCATCCAAGAAACCATGGTTTTGGCTAACTTCAAGTGTGCTACACTCTGACAGAAAAAACAACAGGTTGTTGGGATGAATTTTACGCGATGTGCAGACGTTTGGAATGAATTTCAAGTAACAGAGGGAGCGCTTGCGAAGAAAAAAACACAAGGAACTTTGATTCTTGTGAGTACCATTATTGTGGAGATTAACTGAACTGGTGTTTGGAACAAGCGCGTCGCAATGTACTTTATTGTCGTGCATTTCCCGGCTTTAAAAACCCAAAGATAAAATCCTGAGTTTGAATCATTCTGGTGCCAAATGACATCGATTTCGAAAGAAAACAGTTAGATTTATGATGTGAAAATTCACCTGGTCTACAGTGTTTCATTTACATAGACAAATGTAGAGAACAGAACCGAGGCATGTGTGAAATGAAGAGATGACAAAAGGACAAATTGAAGCAGAAAGAAAAGACATGATTAAATGCATCAGGAAAGCACATAAAGTGTGGATGCCAATCCAAAGGTTGACTAGAAACACAGCGTTGAACAACTCAATCGGAATCGTTGGAATCATCTTCTTTCTGAACTGTCTTCGTTGTCTCCAACAGTTCGAGTACATGTGACACGGGTTTCACACGACCATCCTCTCCCACTCTTCCAGGTTGGATGACACCACCTCTAGAAAAGTTTGAGAGAAGACATCAAAATCACAATCAGACTGAATGATTGCACCGTCCTACTATACCGGGAAACCAGTAATTAGTCACATATGGAGGACAAATTAACCCAAATATAGTGCACAAGGTTTGTTCTCCAGAGATGAAAGCAGGCAGCAAGTCGAGACAACATGCAGCAGTGAATCAGATTATCATAAACTCTGATGACGTCTTCTTATTGAAACAGCTCGACGAAACCAATAGAGCAAATAGTGCGAAAAAGCTAAAAGATCAGACGACCGACATGTCCCAAATTAGTTCCGAATACACCTCAGCTAGAGACCGATAAACGGGTATGACGTAAGGTGTGAGAACGCGGTCCCCAGGGCGCATGGTCACCGAAAAAAAAGGCAAACGTTTTATATTCACAAACACTAAGCCACAAAAAGACCAAACAAATGTTTTCACAATTTTTTTAGAAGTAGAAGAGAAAAAGTGAACAGCTTTGTATTGCAGGTTAGAAAAGACTCTTACCGTTGTAATTTATCAATATTATTCACCAATTCCATTGCAAAGTATTCCTTCTGTTCCTCAGACATGCCCTCCATGGGGTCTGCTCTAGAAGCTTCCCACCTTCCTGTGACGGGATTAACCTCGTCCTTCAAACGCTTATACTCTTCGGTTTCCGAATCGCTAGAAGCCGAGGAATATTCTTCAGCCGAATCTTCCTCAAAACCCGCAGTGGCTCCCTCGCTGTTTTCGGTTGCGATTCGCTCCGTCTTCGACCGTGCACTTTTCTTTGATGCGCCGCCCAAAAGTGCATGACGTGCGAGAAACCCGGCAAAGTTTCCGAAGCCTGTGTACTTCACGGCACGACCAACTGAAAACAAGCACACAAGACAACCGCATAGATGTGAAGAACAGGCGGACTAAATTCACCAAGTCAACCAATGTTTGGGGCTTTAATCAGTGGAATTTAAGCGCTAGTGTTTTAGAAAAATTGTGGCCCGCTTAGAGCTCCCTCCCGTTTGAATAGTCCTTTCGACAGGCGCGGCCATCCAGGAATAGATGGACAGATGAAGATATGAGCAGAACTGGCAACAATCGTGCGGAGTGGCGCTGGCCGGACGGTAAGTGTCAAACTGATGCCCAGATAAAACAGGAAATTTCCCAGGTAGAAAAGTACTCAACGTCGGTCAATCGCCCCTTCCATGAGCGCACAGGTGATACTTCTCGTCACCCAAAACTCGACCCCAGCAGATGAAAATAACCCACATGCTCCTCGTTAATGCTCATGGTGAACGGTTGTTTAAATTGCGAGCAATAGCCAAAGGTCATTCAGGTGCCATAAGGTTTGAGGGTGAGGCGGTTGGAATTTAGGAATTGTCAGGATAAGCGAACCGATCAATGAACTCAACGCTATTTATTCTAAACTTTCAGAGAAGCACAAAAAAATGCAAAATCTTGAAGACTTCGTAGTTTGAAGGTGCAACACGCAAAACGAAACACAGGATCGCCTCCGATGTCCTGACTGAAGAAAATTGCACTGGAAAAATAATCTTTGAACGAAACGATTTCGTATGCTTAGTACAAACCCATTAATCTCTCTTCAGGTGTGAGTGGTCTATTCGAGATGAAAATATCGACGACACATTGGAGTAAAAGCAGGCAAAGAGTCCGGGTGAAATCTGCTAGAGAAAGGAAGAAGGCCTTTGATGCGGAGTTATTTATTCGGAAACGCCAACTGACCGGTTACAGACCATTGAACAGGGAAGCGAAACTCTAATCTGCATCTTAGTTCCAAAAACTGGACACAGATCTCCTCCCGAACGCGTTTTCTTAGAGATTAGTTGCCTCCACTCATTCGTCGGTCAAATCCAAGCAAATGTTACAAAGTGGCCCCACGAATTCTGCAACAGAATTCCCTTTTTCCATCGACGCAAAGCGAAATTCTACAAACAACACATACTACTCGCGTGCCTCCCGATCAGTAGTATCACCGTTACACTAGTAGTCGGGGAGCATCTGGACAATTCACCGTATAACCACATCGGCCGCGAGGTACAGGGATAAAGGACACGAAGCACAATAACGAAATTCGACGACATCCTTCTCTGGCCAGGGATATCCAGGAATGCTAGCCTATCCAAAGGGTCAAAGGCTCCTTTAGAGTTGAGGAAAACAGCGATTGTTGTTCGGTGGTATATATGACACCGCTCAAGCACTTTACGTGATGTAAAAACATGAGTGATGCACCACCCGCCAGGTCGAAATCTTGTTTGGTGCAAAGATAGGCATGGCGATATATGGGGAAGCCCGTAGTCGTGTTGCGACGAGCGTAAAACATATACTCCTAAGTTTGGAACAGTCAGTTTGGGTGCCTTTTCTGAACACGGGTACGATCACCGGCTGATCCACTAATCTGGAATTAGTATGAACAACGTAGCAAAAGCGGAATAATAAAGGTTCCCCTACTTCTTTGGAGAACGATAGGGGAAGCTCGTGTGGTCCAATAAGCCGATGATGCTTCAAGAAAGAAAGGCATATTAGTGTTCCATCAAATGCAAGTGAACTAAGCTCACAGACTGCGGTCCAGACACTTGCGTTAGACAATCAGAATGAGTGGCTTTTGTCCCTTGTGGAGTAATTGTAAGATAACTAGACCACACACAGTGCCATAAGCTATGAACAGAGAAGTGGCCGCTGCATGATCCTGACAGTCAAATGAAGTTTCAAAGGACTAAACACAAACAGTCTTCTCTGCGAGGGGTCTCTCTCGAGGAGACAACTGTAGAAGAGTGCACATCAAAGATAGGGAATCACATGCCAGGCGTTGGTTACAACGGCATATAATTTATGGAGCATACTTACTGTCCTCTTTGCAAAGAACGAACAGGAATAAGGCGACCAGTTCACTGACCCCATGTGACGGGTTCGTAAGCAGTTTGCATAGGCTGGAAATAGAAGAAAACTTATGAGATTTGAGGGCAAATGTTCAAAACACACAAAATTTATGGAACACAGGTAAACGAGGATGAATATGAGACAAGGTGTGGTATTCATTTCAAGTAGATAAGTGTTTATAGCCTCAGAGAGTCTCTAGTGGAGACATTCTAACTCACTAGCTTAAGAAAAAACAGAGATGGTGTAAGATGAGTGAAAAAATGACACAAGGGCGACTGAAGTTGATCAAGATTAGAATCGTTTGTTGGTAAGCCGAATAAATTCAGCTCACAACTACGTTCAGATTTAGCATGAAAGATTTATTGAAGACTGCCGGTGACGCCCTGGTTACTCTTTGCAGCACTCCTGGATGCTTGAACAAGTTGGCTTGCCGCTTGGAAAAGAAGCAGTCTTTAAAATGACTACGTTACAGTGAAACGTCTACAACGAACATTTTAGTTACAATGTCGCATCAAAAGCGAAACTATTGCAACTCACCGATTCCGCATCGTCGCCCCTTCTTCGGGTAAATTGCGTACTTCAGCGCGGAGGTGAGGAAGGACCTACAGAGTCAGCGAAACGAACCAGTAGAAATGGAATATCGATAGTAAAACAATAGGAAGTTCACATGCCCTACTGCTCGCCGACTTCAAAACCTGATATCCCAAACTATCACAGTACGCTTCAATGGAGAGTCAGTCTCCATTTGGCTTTGATTTGTTCGCATTTGCGAACATTTGCGAGTCTGCTTGTGTAGTGGGAAGGGGTTGGGGAGGGACATCAGTGGACGCTGAACTGCGCGGGCAAATGATACTTCCCGGTTGCCGAGGCCGAGGAAGAGGGTTTGGGGTACCCCACCTTGAGGCTTTGACTCAAAAGTCTGACCCACAAGGCAGTGGGAGGACGTAGGGTTTTCTTTGGGGACCCTGGTCGGAGCCGACGACTCAACAGTCTGACCTGCTCGGCTGCAAGGGGTCGGCCTAACCCGAGGGCGCAGGAAATAAGGCATTACTGTCTCATTCCTGATGCGGCTACACACAGCAGGTGCCTTTTGAGCAGCACCGGGCTCTTTGGTTCTAAAAGTATTTCGACCGTATTGGATAATGCGCCGGCGGTCACAGTCAACCGTTGGGCGATTTTTGGGGTCGACCTTTTATAACCCGTCCTTCCTCAGGGGAAGTCGGCATCGCTGCTTCAATAAATGGACATGCTGGTCGCCTGGGGGAAAAGCCTTACTGCCTTCACACTCCTGTCGCAGAGGACAGTACGACTTTACCCCCAAACCGCCACGTAGCACGATCACTCGTAGTACGGGGTCCCGCTGCTCCCTTTGGCCTTCCTGACATGGTTGCACCTTGTGGAACGAAGTTCCAGCCAGTGTAGCACTCAAGCCCGACCACCACGTCAAGGTGGCAGCTTTAGGTCCATACAGCGAACCACAGGCAAGTCCCCGTTCATGCTGATGTACGGCCAACATCCGCGCCTTCGGGGTGGTCAGGAAATCGGGTAGTGGTCGGCAACACGCTTATCTATAGAGGAGCTAGAGGAGAAAGAAGGAAAGCTCGAGGAAACTTGACCGCCGTTCAGGAAAGCACTGGGCAGAAAACGGCAAGCAGAAAGGCACGACCATTCCCCATAGGCGCGAAGGTCAAGTGAAAGGATCATCAGAATCCTGGAAGGAGTGGACTGGGGTCGCGGAAGCTAGGCTGTCAATGGCAAGATCCGTTTGTCGTTACCGATCGTCTATACAATTCAAGACGGTCGGGGATCGAAAAGAGTAAATGGGACGCAGCTTCGTAAGTGGAATGATACACCCGAAAAGCGGTCGAATAAACCGGTCGCTGGAGCCGACCTAACGACAGCAAATGTAAATCGGTGGCATGCGAACGACCTTTAAAGGGGGATACTACTGATGAGGCATGCGAATAGCATATGGTTTTCTCGTAAATCCGCTTCCCGTCTATTGAACAGTGAGATTTATTACGGAATTTGTGGAATTGCTTTGTAGTGTTCGTTTACATTTGAATGATAGTCAATGAGTATCCAGGATAGTTTAGGAAGATGCGTTTGAGAAGAAGACGGATACTCAGTTTCTATTAAGAAGATGCATATGAGAGCATTGCTTCCTAGTCCAATAGTCTGTAACTGCTCAGTTAGTGTTTTCCAATAAATAACTCAGCAGCGAAGGCCTTCTTCCTCTCATTATTACTCTGATTGCAATCCGAATTGAAAACATAAGCGTTTTTACCCATGCCATTTGAATTGCTGAATAGTTAGTAAGCGTCCAAGTCAACCAGTCTACCCTTCTCTGAATACTATTCACAACAGTCTAAATGCATATTCTGTGGATGTTGCGAATCCAGATCAGTCAGTTGACATACCCTGCAGTGCAAAGTTACCTGCCATCATGTTCCGCTAGTCCGTTTGCTTAGGCTCCGTGCATCGTAAATATGATTGTGCGGGTATACCGCAAGAACACACCACAATGACAATGGATTTATCGTTGGCCGATATGGATCAACTGACTGAACTGCTGATGTCACGATCAGATGGAGCATAGATCAGCCCCTGACTCTCCTTTAGATAACGGTACAACATGTTTGCCTAGCTTAATGAGGTATATTTTGTAACGGATGCGTCTATTTTGTTTGTTGACTGATTAATCGAATCGGTGGACCGACTTGTGACTTGGTCCATTAGAACAGTAAACTTGGACCCGTAAACGTGTGTGCACTTGTGACTTAAACAAGGCAATGAGACTTCGGTGTCATCGTAAGACGGTATCGGAGTTGAATATATAAGCCACAGTCGTTGTTGCAATACTAACATGGCAGTTGATTTGTTTTAGCGTGCGGTTAACGCTATTTTCATAATCCAGTGGGTCGATTATGGATAGTGAAGGATTCATGAAAAAGTTGAACCATTGCATATCACTAAAACGACTATGAGAATATTAGCCTCAGCTACTTAAAAACAGTATTGCGATATTATCATTTATTTTTGAAGAGCATGGTCACAAACATAAGAAGTGAATGCAAGCGATGAATGCGAAAGAGTAACAGGAGAATATGGGAGAAAAGAGAGAAACGTCTCATTCGAAATCATGCCAGGGACAGTGCCAGTCTGATGAGGTGAATCCCAAAGTATGTAAAGATTTTGGTATGGGAACAGGCGTCTAAAGACTAACAACCAAAGAAAGGACAAACAATGGTGAATGCTCTTCAAGGCGCAGTATGCGCTAGCACAGTCAAGACTCGCACATCAGGCACAAAGTGACCGTCATACTGGGTCTGGGGTGAGATTAAATGGCAAAAATGCACCTTCAGCTCTATGTGCCACGCATAAAAGTGTCATAAGTACGCAGGGAGCCCACAATGGCAAGCAAACACAAGTCACTGACTGCGACCTTAGGAAGTCCCAGTCCAATAACAGCCTCAGCGGATTGAGGAAAGCAGATCCCTCGATAAGAGATGATCATCGGTTGGTGAACCANCTGCACCCGAAGGAAACACGAGGGCTGGGATGCTGTCAGGTTGCCCAAGCCTAGAAAGAAGTCGACGGGGACAGGTTGGGTCCGAACAGCGGACCTGCCGGTCAGTAAATTCGCGCTCTATGCACTGAGCCATCTCGCCCCCCCCCTCTTGAGCTAGACGCATTAAACATAGGATAATGAGGTGTGCAACACAGCCACGTCTCGGTGTATCATTGAGGGCGTTTGACATACGTGAAGAGCCAGAGTGGCAGCAGTCCCACTTTGCTCAGCTTCCTTGCAGCTACTGTTGAGATTATTACCCGTGTGATTAACGGTTGGTATAGGACGGTATATCACAGTTTATTACTGCAAAACATGGGACTGAAGATATTCTTATCATGAACTGAAAAACAAAATGGAGGCGCAAAAGCATGTCAAATGACGTCGTTTGAATGGTGTTTGCCAGGTTCAGAAATTGATGGCGAATATCAGTAGATAAGCAAAATGTTACGGATGGTTGAAAAAAGCTCTGCATCACCTGCGGGTGTCTCCTTGTGGGTAGAACGGAGTATTTTCAGGCGAAAAGGAAATTATCAATGAATATTTTGTCCTGTGAGTGAAGCTAATCTACGCTGAAAAGCCGAGAAGCATTGTGCAACTGTCTCATCCCTACTGAGAACTATCAGCAATGCGCATCTCACCCCACGGAGTTGCGTTCAGTTGAGATGAAGGATGCGTGGGGAAAATTTAAAAACAAAAAAGGTGGAATAAGAATACAGTACCTGAGAGGTAGGCGGGGTGCTCGGTCAACCGATATTTCTAAGTCTCGGGAACCAACAGAATTCACCGAAAGATATCAAAAAATAATCAAATGGTATCGTGTCCCAGTTCACTGACGAAAACGAAGTAGTCAAAGCTTTACCTACCTTTGCGCGACAATACTTCCGGATGTCACGATTGCCTTGAGCAGCCCTGGTCAAGGCGTTCAACACGGGACACAAAGTTTCTTCTAACCCAGGCTGTGGTACGTAACAGGGAGCGCTCACCTAAATCCGATAGGAAACAGACAAAACAGATACCTGGAAAAGTTCGAAGGTTGATAAAAATCCATGCCTAGAACGGATGTTCGCTGTATGCTATTGATGTTCGCAAAATCACATCTTCAAGGGAATTATAACTGTGCATTGTTAAGTACCACCTGCGTAAAACAAGCGTGCCGCAAATATTTGACCCGCAAATGTGTGAACACGGAGTGAATGCGGCTTAAGAGCAAACTAGAAACCACATTGAAAAATGACTATGTTGTAAACCTCACAGTCACATATGGTAAATCTACTTCAAGTTGTGCGGTTCGGAGAAAGGTCACTCCCGGATGACCGTATGAGTGACTCAGGTAGTCGTTTGAAGTATCGCATTGACCAATGAATGATGCATCCCGAATTTGTGTGCAAAACGTTAATCAATAGTAAGCTGGAAACTCCCGCTTTTGGCAAAAGTCTATACTTCGTTGTATTACCAGTCCATATTGGCTAATTTACTGCTCAGAGAACTTTTCTTGTTTTCTTCTGTCCAGTATACACGCAAAACTGAACAATATGAAAAGGAAAAGTTCAAAGTGGGGGGCGATTATATGAAGACGAACGAGGTCACAAATCTATCAACTTCATTCAGGCCGCGTTTCGTATATTGCCAACCTGAGTGTGGTCAGGAGAATTTCAGAGACACATCCCAGTGGGCATATTAACACCTAATCGATATCCAAGTCATTTGAGACCGCCTTTTAGCTTGATGGAACTAATGTACGAGTAGGCGTTTCCCGAGTTACAAGAAACTTTGCGATATCCTCCAAGCTGAATAGCTAGACCGGGAAAACGAAAATCTAACAATTCGGCATACGGAAAGTACCTAGAGCGAAATAGCACCTTCGGCTGTGTTTCGGGTGAATTTTGCTGTCAGGTGAGAAACTTCATTGGACCTTCTTCAATTTGTGTTTTGTCCTTACGAACAACCCTGCTCGGAACAGTACAAAATACTTTCCCTCTCTTTATGAAGGAAGTTTTAAAAGCACTATTTGGGGAATTAAGGCCCGCTCAAACTATCAAAGTAAATCGGTCATCGACAACGGAATACATGAAAAATAATCAAGGTGGTCAGTTCGGCTACTTGAATAGCACATTTATCTACCTAGTTGTGGAGATTTCGTCCTGTGAGTGAAGCCAATCTATGCTGAAAAGCCGAGAAGCACGAGTGCTTGTTACAGGACGAAATCTCCACAAAAATCCCAAAGTTCCTCACACTACCAACTATCCATCTATTTGTTAAATGGTAGCCTTACTACAAACGGGAAGCCTGCACTACGCAGAATCAAAAGTAAGCTTATGACCCTACTTCCGCAGAAGGGCTTGCAACAATTAGCCCGGCCTGATTTACAGCTTGACATCGGTACCCAAATGTCACTTGTGTTTGTGACTTGCAAGTATGACATCTGTATTCGCAACAACATAGCTTTCAGAAGTCTTTCTACCTAACTAGTTTGTTCTGCTATTCTTATGAGGGTGGTCGTTACCAAAAATGCTAACTTTCGTATGGTTCAGATCTTAACAGACGCAGCCTATGGTCAGTTTAGAATGCAACTACCGTGAACACCATGCGTAATGAACCATCGTTTACCGAAGAGAGTGCTATTTTCCGTACCTGATTCAGAGTGGCGGAAGCAGAGAGGTTGCCAATCCTTGAGCTGGCAGAGGGGCATGAAAGAAAGTGCTGTCGGTGCTACTCGCTTTCCAGGATGGGGACCGCGTTATCCCCGCTGCGATTGATCGGAGACGCTGCAAGATATGGCTGCCAATCGATGCCAGTGGCGTTCGTATTGTCAGTTTCTATCCAGCTTGATTGAATGAATGTCTGGAGGTGTAAGCACCCCGGAGTAATTGTAGTAAGCTAGCAGTGGATCGTTTCCCCGTCCACTGTATTCTTTTCTTCGCAATAAGGGTCTCAAATAAATCATGGTCGTACAGCAGCGAATCATCACTGTTGAGCACCAACGTTATGCTTTCGATTACGATGATGCAGTTTAAGCCAACTCTAACGTATTTTACCGATGATTTGCTATGTTCCAAAACTACGTTGCACTCTCGGTCCACAGTAGTCGACACACAGATTCTACAATTAAAACTTGGTGCGATTTCGGTTTCTTTTTAACGGAAGTGTCCGCTGGACATGATGCTAAACTTACCATGAAACGACCCTAAGGATCCCAGTATTCTTGTCATAAGCACTCAGTCTGTAGCTAGGACATGGCCCCGAAATTGTACTGCAGCGACAAAGTGTTTAACTGCAGTTCTGTCAGGAGTGTGTGAACTTTTACGACGTCGATTTAGTTGGTTGCCGTCATGGGGTAAGAGGTGTGACAAGCAGAAAACGACAGAGGGATAAGTTACATGATGTTGATAGTACAGACATCATCAAACTGAGTGAGTCAATAGTGGCACGTTGCATGATGTTAGTGGTATAATACAAACGTCTTGATTAATTGAAGTCGTATTCAAGTGTGCGCTAGTTTGAGGAAGTTGACGAGGTGGACACTTGATAATCTGCTAGCTGTGTAATGAACCGATACTGTAAGACTGGATGGTTCTGTGGTGGCTAGCGACGAGTTCCTACTTGGAGTACACGGACTTACTCAACGTAACTGGGTGCAATGGTGCTACTACACTAAAATAAGTCATTATAAAGTGGTCTAACAACCAAGTCTGTCACCTGTGATTACGTTGAGGTTTGATATCATCATCATCGACAGCATAACATCCGTGTTCAACACCGATGCTTCACTGCCGTATGTGGCATGAGTTTATTTGTGTATGTACAATTCATGGTTGAGGTTTGATATACTGGTTCCTGAATACATGGAACAGCACTTCGAATTAGCTACATCTAACACGAGAAACAACACGTGGAACCAATCATTCCAGGTTTATGTGGGTTAGGATCAGAATGACCAGAGTACCGTGCTCCCGCATCTCGAAGCTGCCAAATGACTCTCACCGGCACATACCGATCTACGATTCATGGGAATTCAAACAGCCGTGACTGAGCCCAATTAATGCACGCACGCGTATTTTACTGGTAATGCTACACATTAACCTAGACAAAGAACTTGGTGGTGTTGAAGCAATTTGGATGGATCCAGAATATACATGTAGGGTGCTATCAGATTTCTCGCATTTCTCCCTATTCGCCAAGCAGCATTGAATTCTTATCACAATTCTGAGAAAATAAAGTTGATTTTTGCCGAAAAGCTTACAAGCCAGTTGCTTTCAACCAACGTCAAAAGAAACAAATCGAAGTTCTTTAAAAAGTTGAGTATAATACCTGGTACCTGTTGCGATAAACATCCAAGATTTAGCTAAAGTGTACTGGAGTGTTTACAGAAGTGAGGTTGATGGTGCATCACGAGGAGTCGGGTAACGAGCGGGAACTACTAAAATGTACTGCTTATTAAAACATGACAAGTACATCAACGGGGTGCACTCTCGCTGTGAGCGATTGAATATTATCTTAATTTATATTGTGATACTTACGGGAACTAACTCTGTGTCCAGAAAATCCAACAAAACCTGGATTGATGTCATCTCTTGCACCGCCGCACGATCTTTCACTGAAATAAGAAGCTTGAACGACCGCCTTGGCATCACATTCAGAAAGTTAACGAGCTGACTGAAACAGAAAATAAGGTATTACTAGTCAGAGTATAACTAGGCAAATACACCTAGTGTTTGCGGCAACCACTTGGTGCACAGGTGGAACCGGGATCTATCTTCACAATTAAGATTAACCGAAACATAGTCAGGGCATCGAATATACCTTCAGCAATAACATGAACGACTGTTAGCTAACACAGAACATGTACGCTACAGAGGAAAGCTATCAAACGTAACTTATCCTCCCAAAACCGATTGTCTTCGGGAGCACTTTTTCAGGTTAGGAGAGGGTGACCCAGGAATGGGGGCGAATTCTTTTTTAAAGACACTAGCCCGGAAAAATGCGGCCACCTGAGTCTCATCGGCTGACGTGGACTTTTGTTTATTGACCAGCTCCCAACGCCAACTCTGAAAAAGGCCAACATACTACAGTAATAGATCAGGTCAGTGTCCGAATAGTACTGATAAGAATGACAGCGTTCAGTCTGCCCGACAGATTCTCGAGAAACAAAAGGCCGTACCAGACGAGTGAATGCAGGTCGAGGTAGTTCAGCGGTTGCGGCGCGAAACCATACATAGGAAGATTCGTCGTCCGATTCCAACCTTGGCTCGTCGATTGTTCCTGACTTAGGCAACCTGGTAGCATCCTAACCCTCGCAGTCCCCGGGTTTCCGTCAACCTTATGTTCTTCTTGAAACCAAAATGCACGTCAGCTATGTACTGATAGGGTGTCACAGGTAAACGATTATTTCTTTCGTCTTATTTTTCAGATTGAGTTGTGTTCATCGGTCTTCCAATGGAAATAATGTGCCTTAACTGTTTTGATTACCTAAAGCCAACTACAGAGTTACCTTGCAGTTAGACCTCACCACCGAACTATTCATTGTCAGGGATCTCAATGCATATAACTCCGACTGGCTTTTCCACTCTTCTCGCTACTCATCTACAAGCCTCAAAGCGAACAGCAGTTCAGGGGTTGCAAAACACAAAAGAAGTATATCGCTGCCCACTGTGCCAACTGAAACTCTAGAGCGAATAAATGAGGCAGACAGAGAATCGTAGGGACTATTGATAAAAACATGTAAGACACACTTGTTAGTGTTGGCCGAAAATATAAAAAAATCATTCAGCTGTAGCACGCTTTCGGTTCATAGCCGCCATGCCACCCGGAAGAAGTACGAGAGATGGGATATTGCCAGCTTTCCCAAGCCTACACAGGGGGAGCCGAGGCGCAGAGGTTCGGTTCGAACCACGAGCCTTACGGTCAGTAAACTCGCGCTCTAACCACTGACCCATATGTTCAATCAGGTCAGCGCGCCTAGTTCCGATGGAAGTACTCTTTCACCCGCCATCTAATCACTAGCTGAGACTAAAACTAAACTGAACCGAGGAGCAGCCAGATAATGCACTGATGCCACAGAGTGGCAGTGTCATAATAACTAATTGGGTTTCCAAGAAGTGGAGACTGTTCCACAACCTCTGTTGACTCTCCTCGAATGTTCAGAAACTGGAAATCCAGGAGGGTAATTTTACAGCAGAGAGACAGGCACGGATGGCCTGGTCCTGGAAAGTCCTTCGAATAACAAATACTCCACCTTATCTCACAATATAACAAAAACGGTGTTGTCTGCATGTTTCAAAGTCACGGTGTTCTCTTTCACATTGGTTCGAACACAAGTTTTTCTCAGTCACTCACTTTAACCCGTTAGCACGACAGTGATAAATTTAAAAAAGAATGGAGACACCAGGCCCCAAGCCAGACACCTGTTTGTTGGGGAGATTTTGGAGGACTCCCGTAAACTTTCAATACCAAGGCATGTGAACAAAGATGGCGCATGAAACTGATAAATTTCCATGTTATACCGGTTTTCAGAAGCACAAATACAAATACACACTACTCATAAAAAGCACGGAGAGTACGGGCTCCTGATGGAGACTTGACCCATGAAACAATTTCCTGAGGAAACCCTGGCTGTCGTTCTTTGACCGATATTTCTGGTGTTGTAGTGAAACGAGCGAAAACAAGAGAAGGGCTACACATGTCTTTACAACCCGTAATTTCAAGTTCCGCGGACTTGACACTTAGCGGTCTTCTAAGCAGAAGGGTTGGGTACAACGCATGGCTTCTGGGAGGTAGCCACATATCCTGACAAATGTCACCAAACGTAGTGGGCTGAACGCTCACTAAGAAACTAACTCTTATTTCCACGAGGGTTAAGTTAGTAACGGTGATTGTCATACGTTCAGCTGCAGCACTCTTTTCGGTGCCTAAGTGCCATACCACCAGAAAGAAGCATGAGGGCTGGGATACTGCCAGGTTGCCCAAGCCTAGACAGAGGAAGTCGAAAGGCAGAGGTCGGGTTGGAACCACGGACCTTCTGGTCAGTAAATTCGCGCTCTGACCACCTGAGCCACCTTGCCCGTTGATTGTCATACTGGCTGAAGGCGTCGCTTACACAAAGAGAACTATCACAGGTCCATCCCAGTCTCTTCAGACAAATAAGTTAAAGATGTTGACTTCCACATTTAATCATAGTGGGCTGAGATTTTTCAGCATAGTCGCGAATGACTCAGTCAGAGAAAAGATAGTCGATTTCCTTGTCACGAAACCTGATTTGACTAGTTTAATACCGTAGAAGTAATTGGCGCTACCTACCGTATGAGAACCTGAGACCTGTTTGCCCCTAGTTCCGAGGTATTCTAGCATTTTTACAGGTAACAGTCGAGCTCTATATTTACCGGACTTTCATTTGACTATTGACAAGCGACTCCAACCCTTGAATTCGCTGTCAGTTCGCCACACTTGGGCCGAATGAACCGGATAAATTGGGTACATACGTAATTTGCTGAACTTCGACAGTAATTTCATTGTTTGATGGTTATCTGTGACATTCAATCATCAACTGGTTAGCTTTATCGGAACAATCAGATGGGCTGTCCAGAGGTGTTGTGTACTGCAAAGTGGTGCAATTTCTACGTTGACCCTTGGCTTTCTGCTCCACCCACTATCAAAAAACACAGTAGCCTGAGATAGCCCTTTACGACAACAAAGGAAGAATATTACGACTTTGCTTACGAGGTTATTATGGAATGTTCAACAAGGTTGTGCTAGAATCTCCGTGACGAGGCGAGAAGCGTCACGCTATGAAGGTTGGATCCAGACTGGCTGACATTCTTGCGAAACAAGGGATGCTTTGCAAATCAATTTGGTTTTCACGAACGACTCGACTGAATCTCTCGTTTACAATATGAGAAGTTTTCAGCAACCTTGTGAGTAGTCTCCTTTATGAAAAAGGGAAGCCTTCGTTTGGTCCGTAGCTCGCACGTGACACATCCGTCCAATCAACGTGGTGTTCGGTTCTGGAGAGCGGCTGACCTTCGGACAAGAGCAGTTGTATGTTAATCCCTCAGCTTGCCTAGCACGATTAGGTCTGCGTTCGGTGCTTCAAAACATTTGTGACGTTCTTAAGGTCAAAGCAACGAACTTTTGTTCATGTTCAGTTTGCGCACTGTTCCAAGGTGATGAGCTTGATCGGACCCGGACGTCCATAGAAAATATGGCCGGATTCGGGTTGCTATTAGCACTTATGCTATAAGAGTGGTTTTATAGCATACGAACAGCGTTACTAAATAATGGTTACGCTGTCTTTTACTTCCCGTACTTCAGATGGCGCGCCCAAAAATCTCATTTAATGTTTCGGTAATCGGCTCCGAGCGCGGATCCTACTTGGTATTTTGTAAAATTTGACACACGTCTTCAGATGGATTCACATGTGGATTCACATGAATAAGTGCGCCAGGACAGGAGGACGACTGTTCAAAACGAGAGTGATGTGAAACTGAACAATACACCTCCCGCGAAAACCATCACATGCATCTTCAGAATCTGTTTGGTTATCTGGATATCTTGCTGTGGTTAGGAGTTATTCTTCGTCTGATCAAATCGACCCGATATGAAAAGTCGGTATATTTTCTTTATGGAATGCACTACCCATACGATTGATGAAAATGCCTTGTTTGCCCTTTTTCGTTGGTTATGGGACTCATCAGATAGGCGCAGTCTGAAAGTTTCCGTCAACCGTATGCTTCACTTGAACACAAAATTATAGGGGGCTGGCGAAATAAATTCATTTGCAAGAGCATACAATGCAGTATCTCGAATATCATACGAACCGGAACAATAAGCGATGTGTCTGGAGTACATTCATTCGAAGAATATCATAAACGAGATATTTGAGTGGGATTCATTCTTCTCCAACTAGCACCAACTTAATTTGCAAGTGGGTTGAATTTTGCCAACAACCGGTATACTTCTGCTCCCGGAGCTCCAATGTTAACAGTTGCGTGTTATATGACTGCATTCAGAATGCTCTATTAGGGGCTCGTTTATCTCCGTCGTGATGAGACCAGACTTCGTCGTAGTGTAAGCCAATTTTCTGCAAAACATCGGTGTTTGACCATAAATGAAACGACTCCTATTTATTATATGGGGCCGGAGTCGGTGCACTCAAGATTTGTGCGACCATTAATCAATAACCGAGTGGCCCAATCGGTTGTTACGTGAGGAGCATTGGCGTTTAAAAGAATGATCGTTGCTTCATTGAATGGGAGGTTCAATGTGGATTTACTAAACTACTGATTCAAGACGGGAGCGAACTCTTCGGGAATATGACAAATGGCTCGCTTCGATGAGGGATTTGGTCTTTGCTGGAGGCTGCATTATCACGCTATGCGAATACACTTTGGATGACGTTTATCTTAAATTCAGAATGAGCATCATCCGTCGCCTCAGTATCTGATAATGATTAAATCAAGTGTCACCGTCTCGTATAGGTCCAGACTCATATTGTTCTAATTCGGCGGCCTCGTCAAAGTGAGAAAGATACTGTTTGTAGTTGTTCTCTACTAGTGCATCACTAGTATCGAAAATGCTGCAAAAACCGCAACAACTACTACACCCTGACATAATCCTTCGTATTGGCAAGCCAGTGACCTCAGCGATAGCCTAGCCCAGCCAACAACAAGGGTTAATTGACCCACCACAACAAATCACAGTAATAGCCCGAACATTAATGGGGTTTGACTTCACATCCCATGTTTGCGCTGTCTTGAGAAGGATGTAAAAGTTGGGTTTCACCTTTCCAGGTCCGACACGTGGGCTTTTAGCGTGTGTCGTGTAAATGGCGGAAAGGCATAACCGGCAGTTAACATTGTCTTGGAAAACGTATGGTGGCTGGTCAGGCTGACCTGACCGTATACGCTGAAACACCTCTGTACAGAACGTCGCTAGAATCACAGAGTGGACGCTGTAGGTGTGGGTTAAATTGTACACTTTACAAGATCCTAGAAAACCCACAAATGCTTCAAAGGGTACCAGGCAAAAGCACACTTCTCAGGATGATCTGAATAACAAGCCATTAGATGCAATGGTGCAAAAGATCAATATCAACGGTCAAGGTCCAGGAGAAATGCATCTAATTCATAAAAGGTACTACCATTGAAACCCAATTGAAGTGGCTCCCTTATGCTGCGGATGGACCACTACATCCAAGTACATCCCCAACAGCTTAACTGCAAACAAATGGTCTTGGAAGGTTTAGACGTGCACACTGAATAAAATCTAGGCAGCTTTGTAGGTCTTTTACACGTGATGTCCTGAAAATTCTAACCAGCGTCGTTCAACACTAGATTCACAGAGTTTGAACGTCTCACAGGAAAGTCTGGCACAGTAAAACTGTACAGTGATATCCATCTACAGAGAAGAAGACAAGGCAGAACAGTGTAAACCGCTTGAAGGAAATCTGAAAAAACTTTGAGACTAACCATGTGAGTTGATGGTGTTCCGGAGTACGGGGGTTCGGTCGGAGTAAGAAGTCACGGATGATTTCGCAATATCTGTTGAAAATTTCCAGATTGGACTGTTGATAACTGAGTTTTCAAGTAAAGTCTTGGGTACTAACCTGCAGATTGATGGGACTGCGCTGGACGGAATATCCAATATTATAAGCCACCTTGAAGATATCTGAAATTAACTGATAATCTTTGGTCGAGAGCGGAACGGGCTGAAAGGTGTACAGAAGATCCGCAAGTAGACTGAACACATCATTACGATCAACCAACTCTTGTCTCAAACAAGCAAAGTAAGTAGACGATGTTCTACTTACCGAACCGTGGGGTCTAATCCAGAGAGAAGGAACAACAGCTTCAAATCCAACTGAAGAAGGTCACTACGGGACGCCGTCTCCGTATGCGCTTTTAACCGACTAACAAGTTTCTGAATAACATCTGCAGACCTGAAACTTGATCGCTGTTTGGCAAGATACTCACTTAAAGTGGCTGAGGATCGAGGGTCGCTTGAACAGTAAGTTGCTGAGGGCCTTGAGCGCTTCCACAGCCTGCAGTTCGTCCACGATTTCCCCAGATGGAAAAGCGTGTGATAATAATCGGTCAATAAGATTTTCATCCGTGAGCTGGTCGAGACAACGCTCATCGCGAGAAAGAATCCGCAGGCAACTGAGACATTTCACGAGTTCCGTCCCTTCACCTGACTTCAGAACATCCAAACAACGTCTTAGAATGAGCTGTCAAGAAGCGAAAGGTAAAAAACACCATACGCATGCCCACCTCTTTTTGTTCCTCATCGACCGTTTTCAGTGAAAAGTCGAAATCATGCTGAATAAGGAAAATATACGTCAGCTGTCAACATTTTGATACTTACTTCTTGAACGAACTTTTCGAGCGACATATTAAATGACGTCCTGAAAAGAAGAATCGGTATCAATGAAGCAGAGTCTGTCAACTAGCGACTGAGTGGACATACATATTCATTAGATAATTACTAGATACGATCTGTATACATATCACACTGGTCTACACAATCATAATTCATCAGGTTGGCTCAGCTCAGTTTCTCATCCAGGGTAAGGCAGATACCGTCAAACTCCTGCATATAACGCTGCAGCGATTTCCGTATTCCGCAGCATTTAGGTGACCGATACGGAATGCGCGCACGAAATTCGTTGCCTGTTTGTGGTACGGAGGTCAGACACCAAAGCGACGAACCACTTCGAGGGATTAGTAGGTAACTAAGAGCGTGATTGCAGGTCCAAGTCACTCCCGAGCAACGATTTCGCTCTGTTGGGAAAACCATGGCGCAACGGTTCACTTCCGGTGTGAGACAGTCAAGATGGATGTGACCTCCTATCACAAAGATGTCAAGGTAGTATCGTTACTGCATTCCTGTCGATCACGGTATCGCCTCTATTCCTAGATATTGCAATAGAAAGCATGCCATTAGCGATGAAACTTAACATATATGCCGATAGTAGACATCTCTGGCAAACTAAGATGATGAGCTGTGGGTAGAATAGGTCATCACAAACGCGAACTAGACGCGTCGTTCCACTCTGCATTTTTCTCGCGATGTTCAGCATTTCATCCCGGACTAGGTGATCTCATAGCACTACGTGACCGAATGCAGCTCCATATATTGACCGATTTTCATCACTGGATCGTTTCATTCCAACCATCCCTTGAACCCATTGCCCTGCAAACTGTCCCATTAAAGCGCAGTTTATCCTCTCCGGTTAAGACCACAGTAACTTCCTCGTCCACGCAAACGGTGGTCTTGCAAAGACTTGTGGAACGTGCAGGCAATGTGGCTCGTCCAGCTCGTCCCGCCCATCCTAAAAGTCGCCCAATCGCTTTGTTGAACACGGCTGCAGTTGAGCAGCTTGTTCGCTCCACAACCACCGTATCTGCAGACCCAATGGACTCTCTTGCACCACGTGTGGATAGGCCTCAAACACCAACGTCTTCGACCGGCGGTTTGCACCAAAATGGACTTGGGTCCGATCATCCTCTTACTACCAACGACCTCCTCACTGACCTGGTCTTCATGGCAGCTCGAGGGGAAGAGCCACCACCTTTGCCTACGGAAACTGGTTCCGGGAAGGGTGGATTCTATGTGACCAAGCAACTTCCGGAATCTACGATGATTCCAGATATCAATCCACCAGAATCCGTCGAGAACTCCACGGTTGGATTTGAACGCAATAAGATGTACGCGACGTTTTGTAAGCGCCTCTCACCAGAGTTCTCCGATAAACTCCCTGTGGTTTCCAGTCCCAAACGAGTTCCATCTCCAGTAACCTCAGCCGCCACACAGTCACCAAGATCCTCCATCCCCACGCCCGATGTAGCTGGTGGCGCTATTTCCCTCCGATCTGAGTTTGAAAAACGAAAGCGTTCGCGATCATCATTGCCGACTATGCAGGTGGAGGGCGTGAAAATGGCAGACGAGAATCATGTTCCATTGCAGGACTGAAAACCTGATAATTTGGAAAGAACTCCTCAGAATGCCTGTTGGAGTAGACCCAGCCAGTGATATTCCAATTCGAACTTACCATCTAGTGCTTTTGTGTACTAACCGGTGCGCCCTCCTATCTTCAGTTGGCAAACGTCTCACGCAGTTTCTGAAATCGTTTTTGTTTGGGAGGAAAGGATGACTAGTTGCAGCCACGTGCCCTTCTCATCGTCATAAATCTGCATCAAGACCACTGTGACTGTACTTCCAAACATGTTAGTTGTACCATCATTTGTTCCTCGCGTTTCATCCTCCCTGTTTGTAACTACCAACTCCTTTTGGTGTTTACACAATCTGTGTTCGCTCTTTTACTTGAACTTGAGTCCACTATATCACTGATGGCCACCTCTGTGCACCTCCAGGAAGGAAGTGCTGGTGGGGCATCGGTAAGCATAACGACGTTCCATTAGTTCTCGCAGGATAGAGATTTGGTCAGCGCAACCAGTCCCACAACGGAAACTGGCTTGCTTTCCCTGGTTGAGAAGCTCCCTTCTTGTTGAAAGTCTGCGAAAGGGTAGTCACATAAACCGTGGATGCAACCCAATAATGATAACACAGCTATTTGGTTACTCTGATCTCTGCCTCCTTTTGCAGACAGGGGAAATATGAATAAAATCCGAGAATAATAATGATAATAATGATAATCCTCCAGCTGCAGTACCCTACAGCTTTCTCTGCCACCTGAAAGAAGCGCAACGGTTACCCAAGCCCAGACAGTGCAGTCGGGATGTCGAGATCATGCTCAAGCCACGGACCTTCCAGTCAGTGAGTTCATGCCTGAACCATGACTGAACCGTCCCGAGCCAAGAAATCCCGATGCCAAAAAATGGATGAACAGGCCAGTGAGTTACCCGAACATATTTTCTCCGGTCTTGGTTTATGACGGCGTTAAGGTATCAAAGCCAGTCATTAAGAAGTCACAAACTCCTAGTGATCAGAAGAGGAAATGAGAAAACGCATGAAAGATTCCAGTGATGCCTTTGATGGTACGCGGCATGCGTGAGTTGGTTGCGCCAATAATATAAGAGAGTGAAATTCCCACATTTTGATAAATTTGTAATGAACCGAGAAAAGTCGGCAAGGCGTTCCTTCAGAGCACTTGTCCAAAGAAACCAACTCGCTTGCACTTTTTTGCATCTTGATTCAATTAACTCCCGAGACTTATTAAGATGTGGTCAGATGCTAGCTGATAGAATAACACGGAATATCACTGCATCGAAGAGGCTAAAAGGTTATGTAGGAGTTCCATTCACTGTTCAAAAAGTGATTGATGCGGCTCGTCACTTGAGGCCTTTAGCCTGGATTGCTGCGTCGTGGGTTTGTGTTCATTGTTCCAGACCTAAAGCTATCACTCTTTTGTGCTGGTTGGGCTTCTGGGCATCAACTATCCTGTGTACTATACTAGCTGAAATTCAGTTCCTAGAGGTTCAACAATGCCAGCAAGGCCAGCAGAGAGCGGCCCGATTAACAAAAGCGAGCTCCATACTATGAGAAATCTTAGTACGAGGCAATCTGGAAGTCAAGTCGTACTGTCCTCTGTAGTAAGACAGTAAGGCGTTTCCCCCAGTCGACCAGCATGTTCATATTTACGGAAGCATCGGAGCTGCCTTCCCCAGAGGAAGGATGGGTTAAAAAAACGTCGGCCCTAAAAACCGCACACTTAGATCACCCGAAATTTGACCGTGACCGCCGGCGCATTATTCAATACGGTCGAAATGCTTTTAAAACCAAAGGGTCTGGTGCTGTTTAGAAGACATTTTCTGTGCGTATCCGCATCAATAGTCAGACCGTCATATTTTACTCCCAGCCCCTCTCCAAGTCGATTGGATCATACTATTGGGTCATCAGCTCCGGGAGTGATCCTTTAAAAAACCCTGACGATTGCTGTCTTCCGGTTCGGACTTTTGAGTCGCAGGCTAGGGGAACACCTCCGAACAAAACTCCACATCCTCTCACTGCCTTCTCAGTCAGATTTTTAAGTTAAAAGTTCAAGTTGGGGTACCTCAACCCAAATCCGTTCTACTGCTTGAGAAACCGAGAAGTATCATTCGCCCTTGCAGCCCTTTGCTCACCGGCCCCTACCCACCTATCGAAAGGCGAAGTGAGACTGACCCATCTGATAGTCCCCTAAAAATTATTTCGTGCCTAAATCATCGCCCAGGAAAATAAATCAAAATAACCACCTACTAGACTCAAAAGATCTAATCCACGTTGCAGCCTTCAATGTCCGCACTCTATGTCAAATTTGGTAACAAACATCTCTTGCTGAAACCTTGCTATTCCTCTCTATTGATGTATGCTGTATCTTCGAAACAAGCACACAAGAACTCACTTCAGTCCGCACCTCAAGCAGCTCAGGATGGGCTCAAATGCTCCACATTTTACTCTTCGGGTAACTGGTGATATGAATGCCCAAGCTAGACGACTATGCCAGGAAGAAGCGCTATTAGGTAGTAAATTTGGAATTTACGCTCAGCGTACACATAATGGGGAGCAGCCTCTTTAGTTAACTGCTGACCACCGTCTTTCCCTTGCCAGTACGCCCTTTCAGCACAACCGCTAACATCGATTTACTTTGAGGTCACCAATTGAACCATGTGGCTATCAGCTACCAACTAATAATTGTCGTTGCCTCTGAAATGCGCAAATTGATTGCGATCATGCCATTGTGCGGACCCGGTTATCACTTCACTTTCCATCGGTATTAAGTCTGCCAAAGCAGAGCAGTTCCACTAATCAAATTCGTAAAATACCAGTAGCTTAAGAGTATCCAGCTGATATGGCTCGAAAGCGTGATGCGGATGACGAAGACCGCCTGGAGGTGGAAGAAAAACGAGGTAAAGAAGCCATCCGACGCGACCAAATGCGCGCTGGATATCGTCGAGATCAGCAGGTCTTGTTGCCAGAAAGATCATATCAGCAACTAGCGACTGAGGGCACACAGATCTCTCAAACACCGGATAATCAGAAGCTTGAGAACTAACCGACAACGCTGGTGGATTTCAGCGGCCCAGGAAATAGAGAAGGATTTCGCTGCAGATAACAGCTGCACCTATTTCGGCTGATTCGATCAACCGATTAAAAGAAGACGAGTGTCAGCCTCCAGGCTTCCCCTGTCTAGGCTTGGACAACCTGGCAGTATCCCAGCCCTCGTGCTTCCTTCGGGTGACATGGCAGCTACGCACCGAAAGGGTAATAAAGCTGAGCAAAGTGCCAGCGAAACGATACGCGGAAAACAACTGGACTGCAATTAACTCAAAAAATCGTCCTGAGTGATAGGCTGAACACTCCAAAGAACAGTCCATCTGAATTCCTTCAACAGAACCTCTGGAGGAACCCAGCAGGCCTGAATGGGATATCGAAATCGGCTCACCGTCAAC